CCATCCATCCATCCATCCATCCATCCATCCATCCATCCATCCATCCATCCATCCATCCATCCATCTTCTTTACCTGCTTCCTTCCTGGTTGTGTCTCCAGCAGTCACTGGGACAACCTGGACATGTCTCCAGTCCACCACAGGGACCATTCAGTCCCTTCAGCTCACGGTCTGGTTCAGATCAGGCCCCTGATCTGGATCTGGGCTCCAGGGTTGGACACCTGGTGGCAGTGTTTCCTCTCATGCTGCTCAGCTGTTTCAGGGCTTTCAGCAGAGCTCCAGCTCAGCTGCAGTCAGCTGAACGAGACCCTGAAGATGCTGAACTGGTTCCATACTGAGGACCGTGATCCTGCAGCTCTTCAGACCCAAACAGAGATCCGTTTACTCAGAATAACTGAATCAAGTCTCCCTCACTGAAGTTGTTCTGGTTTTAATGTTGTTTTTTGTGTTTGTTTAACTTTCAGCTGTTTCATCCTTCAGGGATCAGAACATTCAGCTTCTTCAGGTTATTAAAGCTCTGACTGTTTTGAACTTTGGTTTGTTTAAAAATATTTCACTTTATTCAGTTTTCCTCAGATATTTTGAAATTCACAAAAAATGTGCTCTTAAACATTTAGCTTTATTCGTTTTTATCTTTTATTTACTATTTTGGTAGATTTAGGTTTCAGTTACTGTTTTGCTCATTTTAGCTTTTAGATTGATGTATGTTTAGCCAGATTTAAGGTTTAACTTAGTTAATTGTAGTATTTAGCTACTGTTCACTGATTTTTAGCATTTATCTACTATTCTGCTATTTTCATCTTTTAGATGTTTCTGCTTGTTGTAGGTTCAAGCTTTTGTTTAGCTGATTTTAGCATTTAGCTCCTGTTCACTCTGATAGTTTTCATCAAGCTTCTTCTTGTTTTATCTTTTGGCTTCTGTTTTTCAGCTACCATTTTGCTAGTTTTAGTTTGCTCATTTTAGCTTAAAACTTTTGCTAATCTTTGGTTTGATAAGTATAGCTTTCTGATACTGTTTTTGCTAAATTTAGCATTTTTACTGTTTACTACTGATTTTTAGCTTTCAGCTATATTCTTGTAGTTGTAGCTTTTAACTGTTTTTCCTCATTTTAGCACTTTTGCAACGTTTGGTTTTGCTAAGTTTAGCTTTCAGCTTCTATTTGACGGTTTTTAGATTTTAGGTTTAGTTCACTTTAGCTTTAGTTACTGTTCTGAACATTTCAACTTTCAGCAAATTTTAGCTTTTAACCACGAATCTATCTTGTTTTACTCCGTTTGTTTTTGTTCTGGTTGTTTTAACTTCTGTATTTAGCTGATACTTTTGAGATTTGAAGTTTTAGCTGCTGTTGGTTCTTCAGCTCCTCCCTCCGAGGACGGGGTCAGCGGTTCAGCTCAGACTGAAACTGTGGGCGTGGTTTGACTCGGTCGTGGGCGTGGTCACCTGCAGGCTGATCGAAGGATCAGCTCGTTCCTCGAGCAGAAGGTGAGTGGAGTTTCTCCGTCCACTTGTTCTGCCAACCGCCATAAAACAGAAGAAGAAGGAGAGTGGACTGGATCCATGGCGGAACCGTCAGCAGCAGAACAGGCGGGTCCTGGTTCCGTCCAGGTGCAGAACTCCTGTGAGGTCTGCTCAGGTGAGCTGAGCCCGGATCAGCCTTGTCCTCACTCGGTCTGTGTCTCCTGCCTCGGAGACAAAGGGTGTCCAAAGTGTCCTCAGAGTCCTGTCAAAACGGATCCTGCAGACGGACCTCAGCAGAACGGAACCGCTGAGGACCCAAACCCAGCAGAGCTCAAAATCCAGGAAGACGTAAAGGAGACCGAGGACCAGAAGGAGTCGGAACCGACAGAGGAGGAGAAGCAGGAACCTCCTCTGGGTCCGGAGGACGTGGTGTGTGACTCCTGCATCGAGAGCCCCTGCAGGGCCCTGAAGTCCTGCCTCACCTGCCTGGTCTCGTACTGCCAGACCCACCTGCGGCCCCACCTGGAGAACCCGAAGTTCCAGAACCACCGGCTGGTGGAGCCGCTCCGGGACATCGAGAGGCGGACCTGCGAGGGCCACAAGTGGCCCCTGGAGGAGTTCTGCTGCTCGGACCTCCGCTGCGTGTGTCGGGACTGCGTGACCGCCGAACACCCGGACCACGAGACCGTCCCGGTCCGGGAGGCCCGGACACGGATCGAGGCAGGTTCTGGTTCTGTGACCCAACAGCACAAAGTCACTGTCAGATTAAAATGTGACGTCATTTTAGCCTAATTACCCAAGATTATTTTTTAATATTTTCACAACTAAAATACCATCTGCAGAATTATCCACAGAAACATTCTCGGGTAATAAACGTGTTTTTACAGAGATTATAAGAAAATTAGTCTTTAGCATCAGAACTTTGACATTTAATCCAAATACTTTTTAACTTGGTGACATAAAGTAAAGTGTGTTTTTGAAGCTCTGAAGGTGGAGCAAAGCAGTTCTTTAACTTCAGGAAGTTGCATATCGCTTCATCTCAACCACAGAAAGCAGCAGACAATGACTGAAAGTCGAGTCTTCCTCTTTGTGTTCAGAGGAAAAACAGAAGAGAAACTTTACTGACGAGAAAATAACGTTTGTTCACACTGAGCATTAAAACAGAACCCAGAGTTAAAAACAGTTTCAAACAAGTTTTTATACAAACAGTAAAAATATCAACGACTCTGTCATTAAGGTCTCAAATGATCAGAAGCTGTTTTTATATTTATCACTTTTCAGTTTCCATCTAATTTTTAATTTTTAAAATTTAATGAGCAAAAGTCAAAACCTGAACAGGAGACGTGTTCGATGCAGCAAATCAGCAAAATTCACAAAACGGCTAAAAATAGACGTCAGTGGAATTTTACCAAAACGAGCGGTTAGACCCAGAAACGTGGTCTGAAGTTCAACGGCTCACAGAAGTCTGACTTTTCATAACTGAACTTTTAGTTTTTAGATCTTTATTTGTTACAGACGTCGGTTTGTGGTTTTTGAAGCATTCGCCACAGAGAGATCAGCTTAACGTCTAAAATGTGAAATATTTTTGCAAACCAAGTTCCTTGGAACTTTATAATCAACAAATCAAACACAAGACAACATTATTGTGTCCTCTTCCACCCTGTGTGTCTGTACCTGTACAGAAGACCCGTGGTTTCCTCCAAGATCCCTTCTCAGTGCACAGATCCAAACTCCAGTTGACCCACTCTATCCCAGCTCACGTTTCTTTTTAGAACTGGAAGCTTCTTTCATCGGCTCCGTTCTTCAAGGATCGCCACAACGAGCGCACTCTCATGAAAGATTGGGCAATTGTTTTACGTCGAATGCCCTTCCTGACACAACCTGGGCTTGAACCCACAACCTCAGGATTACAAGACCATAGCACTGACCACCAAGCTACCACAGCCCAACCTTTATTTAAACCGATAAATCACATTGAGCCTCGAAGACTCATTTACAAGTGAGACCTGTTTGGACAGACACAAACCAGTGGTGAACTGGACACATGTAGGAGTTGGAGGTGAAAAAAATTCCTATCAGACTTTTTTTTTCTTGCCTGAGAAAAAACCCTCTAACATAAAAAAAAACACCTCGCACAAACAAGCACACGTTTACGTAGACATTCTGCAAATGGAGACGAGCAAAATATAGAAATTTAAGTAAAGGTTCTTTTGAACTTGTCAAATCTCTGCCACAAAGAACCGTAGAACATTCATGTGTGTTGACCCAACCTTTTGCTGCTCAGTTTTCACTCAGCAACTGTAAATCAGATCCGAGGCCCTGGTTCTCTATGGTTGTCAGGTCTGAGACCATGGTTCTCAACTGTTCTCAGGCCCGAGGCCATGGTTCTCTATGGTTTTCAGGTCCAGGGCCATGGTTCT